GATATCACAGGAAAATTATTTATAGATCTCTTTTATTTATAAATTTATATCTTTATTTTTATGGATGCTTCATCGGCCTTTCCAATCTTCCAAGCTTTATTAATATAAAAATTTATTTTTTATTCCACGTAATTATAACGCTCGAGCCTGATTAATTTTTTTTTTTTATTAAATTACCTTGTAATTTAATTTATTTTAAATTTTATTCAAATTTTTAATTTATTCACGGAGAGAAAAGAAAAGAACTAATTCCTATGTAGAATGGTAACCATTACTATGTTACATAGTAACGGAAATTTTTGTGAGATTCCTGTGTAAATTTGCTGATAAAAATCTTAGAAATTATGATAAAAATATGAACAACCACTCATTTGTTGCGGAATTAAATTCTGAACATAATGATGTTGATTTTTTATATTTTTGATGAAATTTTCAATTTGTTATTAACAAAAAACATAAACAAAAAAAAGGCCATTCGGCAGCCGAAATGGAAGTAGATTTCGCAAATAAAAAAAAAATTGTTTTTTATAAAATAAAATTAATAATAATATGTCACATAATTTATTAATTAAAGAAAAATTAAATAATTAATTTAAAACTATTTAGAACTAATTTTGTTCAGAATAAACATTTGCTGGTTTTAGTACAATAGTGTGAATTCAGTGGTTGAATTCTAATATCAACTTATTGAAAATGTTTCTATTTAATATTAAATTACAACCATCAAACTAAACAAAATGACTGCAAGAGTAAAATTTCATTGAAAGGGACCCAGAATAGGTATTTTTTGGTCTAGAAATATATGTAAACATGTAAATTAGAGCTTATTTTCTGAGTTTTTAGATGCATTTTACAGAATTCAAATATCTCGAGGCGTTAAAAAGTTATTTGAAGGAAATGCGGTAAAAATATGGAATTTTTGAATTTTCAAAATTTTAAAATGCTGTAATTTCTAAACTAATTATCCGATTTGGCTCAAATTTGAACTCGACCTTCGTAATCGTTCATAGAATAAGTATGTTGAGTTTCATTGAAATCCCTAAAGAATTGTAGACGCTATCGTGCTGACAAGCCCCGCGTTATATCGTATATATATTTATATATATACATACATACATAAACTTTTGAACCATATGTATTTTCTGACTCAGCTCGTTGAGTAAAGTCGGAATATAGCAAAAATTTTTCAAAAGTTGCGTCATGAGGACAAATGCAATAGTTAGATTTTTCTGAAATTTACTAAAAATCTCAGTTTTTCGTAAATAACTCAATAACTATAGGTGATATCGAAAATTGGAAAAAACATTCTTAAAGAGGAAGAAATTAAAAAAAAACGTCTTGACTCCCAGAACTCAAGCTTGAAAAACAATAATTTTTATTTAATGTTGAAAATAGGGTCCCGCGCGACTTTTGTCACACGGCCGCGCCGATGCTAAAATACGACGGCAGTTGCGCGGAACACTATTTTGAACATTAAATAAAAACTATTGTTTTGGAAACTACAGTTCTGGAAGTCAAGACTTTTTTCAGAAATTTCCTCCTCTTTAAGAATCTTTTTTCCGATTGTCGATATCACCTATAGTTATTAAGTTATTTACGAAAAACTGAGATTTTTTATTTTTTTTACGTTTTTTGTTAATAACAAATTGAAAATTTTATCAAAAAAATAAAAAATCAACATCATTATGTTCAGAATTTTATTCCGCAACAAATGAGTGGTTGTTCATATTTTAATCACAATTTCTAAGATTTTTATCAGCAATTTACACAGGATTCTCATAAAAATTTCCGTTACTATGTAACATAGTAATGGTTACCATTCTACATAGGAATAAGTTCTATTCTTTTCTCTCCGTGTTCCAGTACCTAAAAAATTATTGTTTTTTTTTTTTTTTTAAGGTAGTAATACCGTTACCACAAGAGTCAAATCATAAAACCTAACCTTATTTGATTATTGTAGTAGATTTCCCTATACTAAATCACGTTGGAGAAAGAGAGATAGAGATAAATTTTGAATGTTTTTTATTAATAAATATTCTCATATTCTTGGAAACCATACTGATTATTATTAAATATGTTCTAGATGTTATTTTCTCTCGTTGTCTTGATTTTTATAAGAATCTGAACGTCCAGTTTTGTGAAATAAAATAAAGTCTGTGATTCTCCATAAGGATCAATGGTAAAAGTAAAAATATGCAGATATTAATATCTTTTTTTCAGGATTTGCTCAGGTTCCAAAAATATTACTGCTTAATTATGATATTATAAAGTACCAATATGCCAAATTTCATTAAATTCTGAACGTCAATTCTAAAACCGGTAGTACAACCTTAAAAAAAAAAAATTGAATTAAATAAAAAAAATTTTTTATATTTTTAATTTAATCTTGTTATTTTACTTTGTGGTCATCGATTAAAATTGTTAAAAATAGCCTCGTTAATTCCTGACTAAAATAATGAAACCCCGACCTTTTGTACAAAACTAAAAAAAAAAGTTATAAAATAAAAATTTAAATTAACCGAGAGTTAAGCCATCGGATTTAGTTACGAGTTGAAAAAGTTTTCAATTAACCCGCAAGTTGGTTTAGAATTACGTGACCTGGCGTAAAATATAAGTATAAGTTAACTAACACGTAGACCGACGTATATACACGCAGAAAGTAAGCGCGCTAATTATTGCTTGCTGGCTTACGGCAGTTAGTAAAGTACGGAAGCCAGTCTATTGTACTGTACTATTATATTTCATATTCTCGCGAGTCTGACTAAAAGTACCGGCGATATTGCGACAGGGAGTGTCAGTGTAAATGTATACTAGATTATCTCGCTATTTGTCGCTATCAGTTAATCGTCTCCGTTGGCTGATGTATTAACAGACTTACTACTGGTTAACACGCGACTTTTTTATCTTCTCAATGGACTGAGCTCGCCTTATCAATTCTTTAACAATTCTTAAACTTTCGTTTGCACTTTTGATTTTCGGATTTAAAATAAGCAAGTTTATTTCTGTCGGAGATTTTATAGATATTAATGATTTGGTGCAGTAAGATGGACTGCGTTTATTTCTGGGTCATCTTTTTATGAGAATCGATTTTTAGGGATGGAAATAAATTATTTTCTAAGAAGTGAATTATATCCCGCCTATTTTTGTAGAATTAATTCGTCATTGGAAAGCTAATGATAACGAGAATTTCGTAGGCGGTGGTTTGTAATTAATTGATTGGTAAGAGTGTAAATTGATTGGTGGAGAGATATTAAATATCGATAGTATAAAATTTATCTTGATTAAAAAGTTTATTTAATTTTTTTTTTATTATAGAAATAATTTATTTGAGATAAAATTATTTGAAATTAAAGTTTGTAAAAAAAGACTCTTAAAGAAGAGTATCTAGAATTGATAAATTAATTTTAATTTTTTTATCGACATTATTTAGTAACTCTAACCTGATTAATTAAAAAAAAATTTTTTTTTTAATTTTCAATAGTGTACGAAAAAATTATAAATTTCCTTTTTTATATAAAACAAAAAAATTACTAGAGATAAATTTTTAGGAAATAATAATATGAAAGTTTTCGAAGTTATTATTACTATAATTATTACTAGCAACCTTGCAGTCACTATGTGATTGTCGGGACTTGTGAACTTTAAATAAATAAAATTTTGCTTTATAAAATAATGACTTTTGTTAAATTGCACTGTACTTTTTTAATTATTGGCGTTTTTAAAGATATAAGCTCATCCCGATGTTACACTCATCAAGAGCTTTCATTTGAGTACCCACATCCATTTTGATATATTTTTCATATATACATATATATAATATATATAAATATATGAAAAATTGATGTGGTTACTCAAATGAAAGGTCTCAATGAGTGTAACATCGGGATGAGCTTATATTTTTAAAAATGTCAATAGTTCACAAGATACAAGGTTGTTTCTTATAGTTATGTTAAATTACGCTGTACTTTCTTAATTATTGATGTTTTTAAAGATATAAGCTCATCTCGATGTTAAACTCATCAAGAGCTTTCATTTGAGTACCCACATGTATTTTGATATATTTTTCATATATACATATATATAATATATATATATAAATATATGAAAAATTGATGTGGGTACTCAAATGAAAGGTCTTGATGAGTCTAACATCGGGATGAGCTTATATCTTTAAAAATGACAATATTTTACAAGATAAAAGGTCATTTCTTAATTGTGTATTTACGGAGATAGAGCATTTTCGAATGCAGCCTAAATACTTATCATCATAAATTGACTATTGGTAAGAATTTTTTTAACTTAAAATAATAATAATAATAAATTTTTTCATAAAAAAAATAAAAAATTCAGCCAATGAACTTCATCGAAAAGCTATCAACCCTCTTAAAACCACCAAGCCTCCTAATACTTCCTCATTATCCCCTTGACAGACACATCTCCCATCACAAGACCTCTCCTACGCACTCAGTCCTCTCCAGCACCCTCATGACCTCAAGTGACCGCAACGACCAATTTTCCTCCCCAAAAAAACAATCTGCAAAACCTCCTCAAAAATTTCCACCAAAAATTCCCCCTCTTTCCACCAGCTCTCCAAATCTCTAAAACTCCCAACCAAATTTTAAAAATCCTAAAAAAAAAAATTCAAATTATCAATCCCTAAAATTTAAATCCAAGTAACCCTAAAACTCAACCCTCTTTTCTTACTCTGGCGTTTATCGAACGAGTGCGCGCGCAAGTTGAGGGGCGTCCGGTAGTGTTATCGCGTACATGCGTCCCACGACGTAGACGTCGACGTCGGCGGCAAGATGATACGGGGTGATGCTCTTGACGGAAAGGGACGTCCATCTCTAACCCGAGGGCTCACTTCTCTCTGACCATCACCGTAAGCTCAAGACACAACAGCTCTGTTTTTTAATAATAAAAAACAAATCACCCTTGTGATCGTCAGTGATTTTTATTTATATTAAAAACTTTTCGCTCTTCGATTAAGTGACTAATCAATGTGCAGTGACTAAAACATTCTACAATTTTTCATCTTTAATAGCAATTAATTACTATAAAAAATTAAATCATTAACAGTAATAATAATATTAATAAAATTAATAACAAATTAAACTTAGTCTTGTATAAAAAAAAAAACTCATAACAATTTTTGGTAGCGAACGCGCGCCGAGTTTATGTATTGATCGACCGCCATATTAGTCGCGGAGTTTTCTGCTGTGAGGGTGCGTACCGAGGATTTGATTGCAGTCAGGCTAGTGTCAGTTATCAGTTAACAGTTGACAGAATAAAATAAAATAAAATAAAAAATATAATAATTTAGTAATTATTTTTTTTAAACCGAAAAATAGTGAAAAAAAAAGTACTCGAAGGCATCAGGCTGGGAGGTAGGTTGAGCGAAGTTGTGGGTCCCGTCGTGGAGGAGGCCATTGAGCCAGGGGATGCGACCCCGCTGACGGGACCCGTAAGGGAGGTCTCTATTCCGCGAGCGCCTCCACCACCCCCGCGAATCACGACTCCGAGTCCTCCGCGGCCGCCACCTCCGCCTCCGCCGCCTCAACAGACCCAAGTGAGGATCCAGTCCCAGGAGCAAATCCAGCCTTTGGTCCAGGTCCAGGTCCAGATCCAGGAACAGCCATTGCAAGTTCACTACGCCAATCCCTCGGAAACGGTGATCACGCAGACAACTACCGGGTTGACTCTCACCAAAAGCCACAGCTCCGCTCAGATAAATCAGCACCAGCTCCACCACCAGACCAGCGAGCCCAACAACCTCACCATGGGCACCGTCCTGTCTTTCAGTCCCAAAGAGCGGAGGAACTCCTCGGTCTACCCGCCGATCGGCAGCCAGCATGCCAATGATTTTACTCTCAATAATTTTAATTATGAGCAGCTCAACAATGCCAAGAACAGGGAGAACAAAAATGTCGCGGCCGTCGCTCCTGCTCCTGGGAACAACACTTCGCTTCAAAATAATAATATTAATTTGAACAACGACAGCGCGAGGATCATTTCGGAGAAAAATGCCCTGGAGAAAAATTTGAAGAAACACTCGTTGTTTATTAATGCGTTGTCCTGGAGACGGTTTAGCACTACTAATAATAATAAGAAGAAACTTGATAATAATAAGAACAAGAATATCACTTTTAGACAGCCGCTGGATAATATTCCGATTGTTGATAAGAACAAAAATATTCAGACGCCTCAGGTTGGTATAATAATATTTTTAAAAAATTTTTTTAAGGAAAAAATTGATAAAATTTTTTAAAAAATATTTTTACAATTTTTTTTTTTGTTCAATTTTTTTAAATAAAAATAAAAGATGATAGAGTCTGCTAATTTTAGTGAAACAATTATTTTGTTTATTTCTTTAGATAATTTTATTAAAAATTTTAAACATGGATTTTTAAAAAAATCTGACAATTTTTAAAAAACAAATTATTCTTAAAAAATTTAAAGAAATAATTAATTCAAATTTAAAAAATAATAATTTATTTTTTAAATAAAAATAAACAATGATCAAATGTCTGCGAATTATTTTATTTATTTCTTCAGATAAAAATTAATTTATTATTTATATTTATAAGTATTTAATGATAAATTTTGAATTTCATATATATATATATTTATGTCTATAGAGAAATAAACTGAGCATTAATATCTGGTAAATAAATAGAATAATTAATCACTAAAAGTTGGGGATAGTACTTCCAAATAACTATCATTTTTGTCAGTATACTATCAAGGGTAGGAATAATAAATGTTATGGGTGGTTTTAGAAATTGGAAAATCAATAGTTTGAAGGGCTATTTTTAGAGGCCATAAAACGACATTTCTCACAATTGTTATAAATAAATTGACCCATCTCTTTACATTTAACATTAAAATTTTGAGTAAAAATTTCTGGATAAATAGCGAGTGTTTCATGATTCTAAGTAACGAATGACCCTCAGAAATAGCAAACATTAGTTAATTTAAATGAAAGTTTGGAGCAGAAAGCGAGCGAGCAATTAAATTCTCATATCTCGTATGTAAATCAATGTTATGATTCGCATTGAGTTTGTTTAGGCGAATCGGCGCAAGCCTCGAGCTTCCAGCCTCTGGGGAGCGTGTTATTATCCGCCGGCTGGCTGCAGACACAGACGAAGACATGTATGCACCGAAATTCCCGATGAAATTTATTGATTCAGTAAAAGACAACAAATATTTTAATTGAACAATTTTGATTAAAAATTCCCAGTGAATGCAATTTATGACACTGAAAGCTCGCTATCTGTATCTATATCTATGCATTTCCGTCCACGTGACAAAGTCCAAGTACATGCATTGTATACATGTAAATTAACAGAGTTGTTCAAGGTCTTACTCTCTTATATCGACAATCAAATAAAACCATTGAATGTCTCGGCCTACTTGTTCTATTTTACTATTTGTTAAATTGACGATATTGATTTGCAGACAAAAGCACCAGCGTCGAACAACAATCACACGACGCACAATTTAAAGTGTGAGAAAATATCGGAGCGACCTCAGCCAGCAGGGCCAAGGAAAACCGTGATCCAGGCCTCTACTTCCGAGCTGTTGAGGTGTCTCGGAGTTTACTTGCACGGGAAATGCACAAGGTTGAGAGATTTCCAGGCTGGGGACGCTGTCATGTGGCTCAGAACTGTCGACAGGAGTTTGCTGCTTCAAGGATGGCAGGTTTGTTCCTTTTTTATCAATCCAATACAAGGTTTTACTATATAAATAAGGACAATTGCACAATAAGTGTCAAGCTTTCAATTATTGAGAAGAATGACAATATTTATTTCTTTGGTTTAAAACTTTTACTACCTAGGATGATAAAAAAAGTTCACTTGATTTAAATTTAAAATTCTTGGACTAAGAAGATCATTTTTAAGAGATTGATGATCTTTAATTGAGTAAAAAAATTTTTGTACTTAAAAAAAAATTTTTTTTTTCAGTGTAACTAAAACTTGAAAAATTATATGCACTTTAAATTTTTAAAAAGTCAATTTTTTTTTTTTTATTGAATTTTTTAATGGAAATTTTTTAAGTTTTATGAAAATTTGTGACTTGTAATTTTTTTGGGATTTTTTAAAGATTCAAACTAAAAATATCTAGTTTATTGCAAGCTACACGGAGAAAAATGATTTATATTACCTACTATACAAAAATAGTAACTCCTACTATCTAAAATGGTAATAAAATTAATTAGTAACCAAATAATAGGTGGTATCATTGACAATTGTCATAGTTACTATTAATAATGGTAACGATTACTATCAAAAATAATAATTGTAATTATTATAAATTATAACTGTTACAATCGAAGATGGTAACTGTAACCATCTCAGAATGTAAAAATTCTGAAAGAAAAAATAATACAAATTTACTTAATTAAATCCTTTATTTAGATCCATATTTGAGCTAATGTACATTTTTTCATTTGAAATATTAAAATATTTTAAATTCCCATCAAAATTTTTTTTGAAAATTTGATTTTTTTGAAGATTAAAAATTTTTTTTTTATTGAAAATTTTGATTTTTTTGGAAATTTCAAATTTAAAAAAAAAAAATGCATCTACGGTAGCGCTGATTCTTAATTTTTTAAATATTTTTTACTAATAGCTTAGATAGTAGTTATTATTATTACTGATGGTAACTACAACCATCAGGTTATATTAGGAATTATGATTTTGATAATAGTAGTAACTAATTAAAATAATAACAGTTATTATTACTGATTACCATTATAATAGTAGTAGTTACTATTAGGATGGTAAATACTACAATTCAGATGGTTTACTTAATTATTTAAATAATATTTACTATTATAATTACATAATTAGATAGTAAACTCTACTATAAAATTTTCACCGTGTAGTTCTTTAAAAAAAAATATTTTAAAAATTATCATTTTAAAAAAAATAAAAACTTATTATTTGTTCAAATTTACAATTGATAATCATAAATCAAGTTTAAAATTAATCAAATTAAAAAATTTTAATAAAAATAATGAGAAAATCGTTTTTTTCGGACTTCTAAGTGCATACAGACCCTTAAAATAAAATAAAACAAAATAAAAATGTTCATGAAGATACTGTAACACGATATTACGACAGAGTAATGAAGGAATACATTGGAATAGAATAACACCCTTGAAAATCTACGACTTCGGATAAAATATCAAACAGGCTTCCGTGCTGCATAATTTTATTTTATTTTTTCCACGTCCAGTTGAAGGAAATTAAATCAACCCTCTCTCTACCTCCCTCTTAAAAATAGACGAACCGAGTTATGAAATAAAATATTCAATAAATTTTAAAGTTTTAATTAAACCAAAAATCAATGAGCTTGATGAAAAATTGACGAGGTAATATTTAAAAATAAAAAAACACGCATTGTATATTAAATTAATTCATATTAACATTTAAATGTCAGCTAAAAAAAGTGTTTTAATAAGTCAATAGAAATTCAGATTATTCGATCGGAGAAAATTGAAAATTTCATCCCGGAGTTGTTTATTTATTTAACATCGAATTCGAAATGGGAGCTTAAAGCTCGCTCGAGGATTTAAACTCATGAGAAATGAATATAAAACCCCAGTGACGCTCCTTTCGATCTAAAAATAATACTTTTTCCGATAAACTGACTATCTGGGTCTTTATTGCTTTATTATTATTGTTATCATCATCAGCGGAGCTTAGCGACTCAAAAATATAAATAAATAAAGGTAGAACAAAGGGATCTTGCGAGTGGGCCGATGGAAAATGAAAAATGAAAATAATTAGAAGATGAGGATTGTTTTTTAATTACTGTCGAAGAACTCGAGGAATTTTTCATGCGTGTAACTGTAACTAGAACCAAAAAGAGTCGCGAGCTACATAGCGTTAGAATGATGTGGGTGTAGTTTTATTTAGTTTTTGGCGGGGTGGAGCGAATACGAGACAAGGGTGGCTTCAAAGCAATGCCAGAACGAGGGTCACGTGCCGATACGAGGGTGACGATAACTCTAGTCATGGGGTATTGTGTACAAACACCTACGAGGGTCGACATATATGGATACTTGTACAGGCAACGTTGCTGAAAATTTTCTACCCCTCGACAATGTTCTTCCCGACTTCTATTTCCTTTCCAAGATATTTAGTTTCTTGCTGAGCCCTAGATTTGGCTTTTTATTTCTTGGTTTTTGCTTACGATTCTGTTGCTTTTCGATTTATGGGGAGGTTATTTTATTAGAGCAGTGATTTTTGTCATTAGATTGATGTTCGACAAATTTTATTAATTTTTACACTGTAAAAAATTTACGAAGTGGATTTTTAATTAATTAAATTTCTTAAAAGTGAAAATTACTCCGAAAAGGATTTTATTTTTATTAATAATAAAAAAAAATTTTGCAGAGTGAATTCTTAATTATTTTTTTTTTTTAATAAAAAAATAATTATTCGTTAGAAATTAAAAAAATTAACATAAAATATTAAAAAAAAAAATAACATCAATATTTTATTTTTATTTAATTTTAAAAAATAATTTCTGACATTTAATAGTTAAATAAATTGTTTTTAAATAAATAAATTAATTAATTAATAGTTAATAAATTATTCTATCAGTGCATCAATCTGATCGTAAAGATTTTTCATAAATAGAAATTCCCTTAAATGTTTATTGTCGAAAAAAAGTAAAGAATAGAAATAATAATCATGATGTGTGAGGATATGTTTGTTCCCATACACCTGACCTTTTACCTAGTCACGTATATTTATGGATTGGGCACGAGGCCAACGTATACAGTTAACATATATTTGCCATCAGCGGAACACGAACGTTTACCCCCGAGCAATTAGACGCGCCCAAATTGGAGGTTTTTATTCAGGAGCTGAGTCATCCGCCCGTTAAATTGCGATTAGAATTTATAATCACTTGCAAGGGGAGTGAAACAAAAGGAGACTGAGAATATGGAAATTTTCAGCGATCGAAGCTTGGGAGCTTGAAAGATCGCCAAAGGCGAGAAAAAATTCACGATATTGGGTGTGATAATGCCGGAATTTATGATGGAGAAGGATATTTGTGAAATGTGTGAATCTTGAGGTAGAAACAAGGAAATTTATGGAGGTCGGTTGAGAAAAAGTCGGGTTCGAACCGGTAAATTTATGGAAAAATGTTCCAAGAGGTTAAAAAAATGCTTCTGGGTATGAAAAATCGTTTCGTCCGGAAAACTTTGATAGAAATTTTTTGAATTTAATGAAAAAGCAAAAATTAATTTATCCTGTAATACTTTTTGTTCAGATATTGGAGCAAATATTGAAGATACGGACAATTTATAAGAGAACGTTTGTAGACAATAAAATTTTCTACAAAAAAGGTTCTTTTCAATTTTACGGTATCTTCTATACCTTCGTCAAAATTCGAGGTCAAAAGTCGAAGATATCCTCAATCAAAAAGCCACTAGACCGATTTATTAAAAAACTAAAACTAAAATCTCTGGGTTAAATATTGAAGATTATAAAAGATTATAAATTATAAAAAATTAAATACTCTTTAAAAAAGATCTCTATAAAATTTTCTTTATCTCTCATCCTTTAGCCAGAGTTATAATTAAAACGAGCAGTCTTGCAGTCACTACGTGACTGCCGTGACTTGTAAACTATAAATAGATAAAATTTTGCTTTATTAAATAATGAATTTTGTTAAATTGCACTTTACTTTTTTAACTATTGACGTTTTTAAAGATATAAGCTCATCCCGATTTTACACTCATTACGAGCTTTCATTTGAGTACCCACATGTATTTTGATATATTTTTCGTACATACATTTAAATAATATATATAAATATATGAAAAATTGATGTGGGTACTCAAATGAAAGGTCTCGATGAATGTAACATCGGGATGAGCTTATATCTTTAAAAATGTCAATAGTTCACAAGATACAAGGTCATTTCTTAATTGTGTATCTAGAGATAGATAATTTTAAAAATCAGCCTAAATACTTATCATCATAAATTGACTATTGGAGAGAATGATATGAAACCATGAAAAAGGACAACTCCAGGTCAAGACTTTTCTAATGATACAAAATTTAACTATAAAAACCCATTTTATCATATAAAGACACTGGCCACAAAATTTTTCTTATTCTCCTAATAATACAGATTAAAATTTAACTTCATCAATATACTTAAAAAAATTTGATCAGTAAAATTATAAAATCTCATAATTATATTTACAAACTCAACGTGACACTGCCAATGACCTTGCGGAGCTTTAACAAAAAAACGTGCAGAATACTCCACTTTCAACGTAAATCATTTAATCTAATTATCATCAACCGGATTTTAAATTTGCTCCATTTGTTTTTTTCCTACAAAATAAAATCATGCTCTAACATAAAACACGTGTCAGTATCGATTCTTCACCCAGACACTTTTCACTTAAATTTGAACGGATGAAACAATCAAAAAAATATTTCTGAAAGAGCAAGTGAACAATTATTGCGAAATACTTAAGAGCTGCAGTAAAAAGGCCAGTCACCCCATATTGATCGAAGCTATACCCTGTTTTATATATTATTTCAACTCCATACTCAGTATAATATGTATACAGTACATATAGTCATAGTCCAAGTCTATAAGTCTGCGTTAAATTTATACTTTTGCTAGATTTTTCTATATCGGAATTTGCTGGGTAAGTTTAAGCCGAGGCTTGTCCTCTTTATGAATATTAACATTGTTGTTGATATTATTGTTATTATTATTATTATTATTATTATTATTATCGATAAAAGTAACTGCTTAAGGGCTGGATTTGCCAGCAGCGAGAAAAAACGTCATGTCGACGACCGTATATAGTTGAATAGCGTGAAGGAAAAAATAACTATCATCATCATTAGCATCATTGTTATGATTATGATTATTTTTATGATAATGGTGGTCAGAAGTGCCGGTGACCATCGAATCGTGATTTTACACGTTGTTGTTATTATAGACTTACTTATTAACGCTCAAATGCGTGGGCGATAATGATGGGGCAAAAAAAGCTACTTGTAAACTGACATAGATTTTACGCCAGCGTATTAGTGTCAGGAGTATATTGAGTATTTAAAAAAAGCTTTATTTATTGCCTACATCAACTAGATTGCTAATATTGTCATTGTGTAAAAGTAAAGAAAAAATTGTTTGAAAATGAGAAATAAATATTTTATCAAAATTATATTATGTACTTGAATAAAACATGGCAATCAAATAAATACTAAGTGTTATATATGTTTTATCTAGTCTTGTAAAAATTATTCGAGAGAAAGCCGCGAAATTGGGTTACTTAACACAGATATTTTTTTTATAGTTAATAATTCGAAGGAACTTGAAAGAATTTAAAAGGGAATAAATTTTTAGTTAAATTAATCTGGAATTCTTGAAGTTTAATAAATTTACATGAAAAACTTCAAGTATTCTCATGTCTGATAAAATGACATTCAGAAATGGAAAATATTTTAAATAAAATGGAATTCTTAGAAGAAATACATAAATAATTCTGTTCGTAATATAATTTCACGATGGAATTCTTTGGATGGTTTGAATTTTAGTAAAATTTTTAAATTGTCATTTTTAAAAGTTATTATTTTCCTTTTTTTGTACCTTTTAATTATTAATTATTTTCTGTCAAAATTTTTACACTGAAAAAAAAATATATAAAACTAAATGCAAGAGAAAAATTTTTAAATTGAAAAATGTATCTTAATCTTAATTTAAAAAATTGGTAATTATTTACAAGTGGGGTCAACCACATTTTGGGGAATAACTAGATTAAAAATTAACATTTAAAAATTTTTTTGTTTTTACTGCATGTTTATAATAAAAAATGTGAAAAAAAAATAAAGATTTCGATAGCTTTTCTGCCTTCAAAAATTGGAAAAAAATTTTGGCTCTCATGTTTTTGGATAAAATTTCTATTTTATCTTTTTTTGATGAATTTTTTTTTTGAAAAGTACCTAAAAAAACGAACAATTAAAAAAAAAAGTTGAATATCACAATTTATAAATTTTTTTGAAAACTTGTTAAAATTGTGATGATCAACTTTTTTTTTTTAAAGTGTTCAATTTTTTAAGTATTTTTCAAAAAAAAAAATATATTAATAAAATCAAATAAAAATTTCGTTCAAAAAAATGAAAATGAAAATGCATAGTAAAAAATTTTGCGTCATTGCGTCAAAAAATTTAGTGTTAAAAATTTTTGTGTCAAATATTTAACACTTTTTTGTGTTGATTTAACATTTATTGTGTTAAATCAACACCAAAAGTGTTAAATCAACACAAAAAAGTGTTAAATATTTGACACAAAAATTTTTAACACTAAATTTTTTGACGCAATGACGCAAAATTTTTTACTGTGTGGTTTACCCCACTTACAAATATTTACCAAAAAAATTCTACTAGATTAAAAAATTTATAATCTTCATTCCTCTTAACATCTTTTTTAAGCCAAAAGTTAATTTTTTTCCAATGATTAGTCTTAAAATATTTACAATTTTTAAATTATTTGTCCTATTAAGCTTTAAAAAACTTCCCAAATTATTTACTTAAATTAAAAAAAATTAACCTTCAAATCTAGCATTATAATTAATGAATCGAATCGACAAAATTGACCCTAACCGGTAAATATTAATCGAAATACCAATCATCAATAAATAATTATAAAATTACTAGACCTGAATCTAATAATCAAACACCTGAAGTTATCGGTAAACAACGTTCCTCGATAACGTGTAAGGTATGCATCTCATAAATGCATGAGTGAGAATAATAGGAACGGTTTCGAGGTAAGGTTTAGTAAAGGCGATATTATATCGAGGGCATCGATCCTGGTGCACGTACACGGCTCGGAGCTCGCTGCCATCATTTCACGTACACACAAAGAACAATGATGTTGAGGGTGTGCGCTGGTGGCGTATGTTTACCTACCAGCCAATGCTCTCGCAATCTCTCAATACCCTTGCCAGGAATATTCAGCTTCAGCATGCGACACAATATACAATATGCAATATACAATATACCTACGACAAAGCAACAACAACGACACTACACTGGAGCAGCTTCACGGTCTACTCGTTGTCATGCACGGTCTAAATCGAGCGGTACACTCCAATTCACTAATGACGGCGTGTACGTTTAAGTATATTGCTACTGCACCAGCTATTACTATCTTTACAAGCAACCGGTTTTTATCAAACAGACATGCCTGGTTGGTTCCTATCTGCCCGTGGCTCAGGTTAATGCTCATGCTAATGTTAATAATTTCGACCAAATTAAGCTGGCAAACGCCATCAGTAAATGAGATGAAAGTCGGTGAACATTGATGGAATTTTTTTTTTTATTTATCTCCAATGATAGAAAAATTAACTTGATTGAAAATAGAAAATTTTTAGCCAATATAATGCTGAAGAATTTCATCATTTTTTATTTTTTTTTTCTTAACTCAGGACTAAGAAATTTTTCAAAATTATTCTCTTGGTTCACAATTTTTTTTTTTTTAAATTTAGAATTGTAATAATTATTGTGTTAGATGGACAATAATTTTTTAATCACGTCTTAGGTCGAAATGTAATAAACTAATTTGTTTTTTTATAGAAAAGCAAATTATAAATTTTTATAAAAAAAATTACAGATTGATAGTAAAAATTAAAAAAATAAAGTAAATAAAAAATTTTTAGTAAATTATTGCAATAAAATTTAGACAGTTTTTAAATGAATTATCTATATTGTTAAGAGAATAAGAAAAATTTTGTGTCCAAGATAGTCATATGATAAATCGATTTTTTTAGTGAAATTTAGTGTCATTACAAAGGTCTTAATTTGAATTTGTGTCTTTTCAAGATTTCATATCATTCTCACCGATAGTCAATTTATTATGATAAGTATTTAGGCTGCATTCGAAAATGCTCTATCTCTAGATACATAATTAAGAAATAACCTTGTATCTTGTGAACTATTAACATTTTTAAAGATATAAGCTCATCCCGATGTTACACTTATCAAGACCTTTCATTTGAGTACCCACATGAATTTTTTATATATTTTATATATTTCATAAATATCATATACATAAAATATATGGAATATATACAAAAAATCATGTGGGTACTCAAATGAAAGGTCTCGATGAGTGTAACATCAAGATGAGCTTATATCTTCAATAACATCATTAGGTGACAAGATACATCATCATTTCTTAATTATTGATATTTTTAAAGATATCTTATTACGATGTTACACTCATCGAGACTTTTTGTTTGAGTACCCTCATGAAATTTTTCATATATTTTATATATATGATATTTGTGAAATATATAAAATATACAAAAAAGTCTTGTGGGTACTTGAATGAAAAGTTTCAATGAGTGTAACATCAGGATGAGCTTATATCTTTAAAAACGTCAATAGTTAAAAAATTACAGTGCAATTTCACAAAAGTCATTATTTAATAATGCAAAATTTTATTTATTTATAGTTTAAAAGTCACATTTTAGTGACTGCAAGGTTGCTAATTTATAAAAACACATTATTAAATAATTTTTTTTTCTATTAGAATTTTAAAAATATGTTATCAAAGTATAAATAGTATTTTTTGTTATAAAAAAATTTTTTTTTAATTTTAGAAATATCAGTTACTGTGTTTTGATATTCAGCAGCCATAACATTTACTCTTTAATTAGTTAAAATCTAACATAGCAACTATAACCATAAAAATATTAATTAATTTCATTTTTAAATAATTTTATTAAAGTTTAAGGTTTAATTAATATAAAAAGCGATAGATATTATTATTTTATTTTCTCTATGTACGCTGTATAAATGACGTCATGAAAATTTATATTATTTAAGCATCCGGCTTAAGAGAAGTGCTTGCTAATGAATAGATATTATAATGAAAACGAGTCTCTCTCATACCGCATGATTGCGGTAATTTTAATTAATGAGCAGCATGCAATTGGGGCAGCCGAATCCATAAAGCCAAAGATAAAGTATTTTAATTTTAATTAATAGTTCGTCATAAGATGCTTTAATATTAAATAAAATTTGTTTCAGGACGTCGCGTTCATAAACCCGGCGAACGTGGTGTTTGTGTACATGCTGGTTCGCGAGCTGGTGGACGGAGAGGAAGCGTCCGAGCGCGAGCTACAGGCGACCGTCCTGACGTGTCTGTACTTGAGCTACAGTTACATGGGGAACGAGATCAGCTACCCCCTGAAGCCGTTTCTGGTGGAGGATAGCAAGGACAAGTTCTGGGACCGGTGCCTGCTGATCGTTAACCGACTGAGCTCCAAGATGCTGCGCATCAACAGCGAGCCCGGATTCTTCACGGAAATCTTCACCGAGCTCAAGGTATATGACACCCCCTGGAGGCGTCCGTCAATGAACATGGGTCTATAAAATCAAAACGTCGTGTACGTAGCGACGCCTCTACTTGTTTGTACGAAGTAGAATTAGAGTATCATTGTCATTATAATTACTTAATTTTCATTGTCGTAGAATTAAATTTAAATTTATTTTAGACTGGAATGCACTCCGTGAAAAAAATTTTTTATCAAAAATATATGTTGGAATATGATAGAAGAATTTATTAACAATTAAAAAATATTTATTGATAGTTAATATTTTGTTTAATAATTTAGATAATTAAAATAAACAAACAATTTTTAATACATCGTTATCTATATTATTAAGAGAATAAGAAAAATTTTGTGTCCAGGATGGTCAAATGATAAAATCGGTTTTTTTAGTGAAATTTTGTGTCTTACAAAGGTCTTGATTTGAATTTGTGTCTTTTCGAAGTTTCATATCATTACCGATAGTCAATTTATAATGATAATTATTTAGACTGCATTCGAAAATGATTTATCTCTAAATATGTAATGAAGAAATGACCTTGTATCTTGTGAACTATTGACATTTTTAAAGATATAAACTCATCCCGATGTTACACTCATCGAGATCTTTCATTTGAGTACCCACATCAATTTTTCATATGTTTATATATTTTATATATATGTATATATGACAAATATATCAAAATGCATGTGGGTACTCAAATGAAAGATCTTGATGAGTGTAATATCGGGATGAGCTTATATCTTTTAAAACGTCAATAGTTGAGAAAGTACAGGACATTTTGACAAATATTTTGTGAAGTATTGACATTTTTAAAGATATAAGCTCATCCCGATGTTACATTCATCGAGACCTTTCATTTGAATACCCACATCAATTTTTCATATGTTTATATATTTTATATATATGTATATATGACAAATATATCAAAATGCATGTGGGTACTCAAATGAAAGATCTTGATGAGTGTAACATTGGAATGAGCTTATATCTTTTAAAACGTCAATAGTGAAGAAAGTACAGTGCAATTTAACAAAAGTCATTATTTAATCAAATAAAATTTTATTTATTGATAGTTCACCAGTCACATATAATAAATGACATAAAATATTATTTTTATGAAAATACTATTAATTTATCTAATTAATTGAATTTTTTTTACTATCAAAGTTATGGAGTTATAAAAAGTGTCTAAGTAAAATTTTGACATTAACTTTTTATTTATGGCTCCAAATAAATTTTTATTAACATAAAAAAAATATATATCATCTAAACAAGAAAGTGTTAATTAATTAATAATTAATTAACACTTTCTTGTAGATGATAAATATAAGTATAAGTTTTATTTATTAAATAATAATTTATTAATTATTGATCAGTATTTATCAAACCAGTATAAATAGATAGCTTTTGGCCGACTTTCGTTTAGACTTTAAATATTTTAACTATAATTGAAACTTATTAAAAATAATTAAATAATAACAGTATCAAGAAAAAAAATTCTCGCACAAAGAAATTTCTATTAGTTTAAGTAAATATTCTATTTACATAAAATTAAATATACTTCAACTATTCTAACATATATTTTTGCTGTAAAAAAAATTTTCCTGGGAGTCCTAACAGGGAATAATAACCAATGAATAACAATAATAATAATAATATGTTCCAGGCCTGCGGAACCGGAGAACGCGGGAGTCTTACTGGTGGGGGTCTCGAGCGAAGTCTCGTCGTCTCCGGAGTCGCGGTTCCAACCAAGGCAGCTTGACAAAGCTACAGAGAACTCTTGGGCCGGATCACCAGAAACGACAGCCATCTCGAGCCCATCTGACATCCCGCAGTTCGAGGAGGAGTCGCGTTCGCGGCCTGACGTGTCGCTGACTCCGTCGTCGTCACCGCCGGTCCCGTCCACCTCAGGAGCCTCAACATCAGCCCAGCAGCGCCACCACCTCTTCCTCCAGCCTCCCGAGCGCCCAGTCTTGCAGCGCCGCAGAAGCAGTGCCGGGTTGTCAGGACGCTGTCCAGATTGTGGTAAGAAGCGCGAGGACGCCATTTCGTACACGATCGAGGACCTCGACGCGGTCGATTCCGCGCCTCTAGAGAGTGTCTTCAAGGGACTGGTCTGCACTTGCGACCAAAAGGCGCCACCTTGTCCTCCCGACGTCTCCCCGCTCTTCAAGAAGCCTCACCCTGACTTGAGGAAGTACCGGAGCGTCGAGACCTCGGCTTCCAGGTGGGGGAGCAACTACCTTTCTCCCGACGACATCTGGGACCTGAAACGTCCGAGCTCCGAGGAGATTACCGAGTACCGGTGGGAACTCAGCACCTCCAGGACCGACGTTGACCTCAACCGTCGCACCAAGTGCAGTTGTCATGACCTCACTCCCGAGGAAAAGCGGCACCCCGACCGCGGGGACCTTCGGAAGCACCACAGTGCTGAAACCGACAAATGGTCCCTCAGGCCCGATCACCTCAGTCCGCCTCACGACCTCAGAAAACACTCGAGCGACGCGTCAGGCATGGCCCGGGACGGTCCCCAACCAACGGCCAAGACCCTCAAGGTCCCCGAAGTTTTGCCGAACCCGAAGCCAAGGTGCACTTGTCCGAAGCCGAAGACCTTGAGCCCTTCCCCGGTCAATGAAAGGGCCCAAAGGTTCCAGGACCAGGAAAACCGGGTCCTCTTTTCCAAGTCCTTGACTCCTGAAGAGGAAGCAGCCTCAGAGCGCCCGGAATTGAAGAAACACGCCAGCGAAGATGTTCGGCCGGTCAAGAAAGAACGGGGAAGGTTGGTCAAGGAAAAGGCTATCGTTGGATCGATAAAAAAGCCCGAAAGAGAGGTCACCAATCCTGATGAACGCAAGGCTCAAAGGTCCAGGTGGGCCGGAATGACCCACTTCTCGCTCCAGCCGGAAAAGAAAGAAATAAAGTACGGAGATCCCAAAAGCAAGAGCCTAAAGGAAAAGCAGAGGTACAGTGTCAGGAGAAGCTTGTCCCCTGAACCGGACCCGCGAGCTATCGTCAGGGTCAACAGCAAGATTGTCAAGCGGCTGATTTCACCGGAAATCACGATCACTGACGCCAAGTGGGCGCCTTACGAGGGGTACTCTCCTTTACCATGCGTCGGGATCAAAACTCGCGAGCCCAAAAGGATCAGCGAGATAAAATGGACGCCCTACGACGGGTCTGCTTCGGAATTGAGCATCCTGGAGGTCCCTGAAGAAACTGAGGCGAACGACGAGTACCATATCACGCCGACTTGCCACCCACCGCCGAGAGCTACTGAGCTGAAGGAGGAAGAAACTGACGAGGAGCGAGAGCGCTGGAGGTTTTTGAACCAGATCTCACCGTTTCCGATCTACCAGGGCGCGTGGAAAGATGAGTCGCCTGAGCAGTCTCCCCAGAGGGTGATCACCCCGGAGGACCTGGAACCTCCGATTTGGAAGCCCATGGAACCTAGTCCTGTGAGGGCGCGCACTCCTTCGCCGGTTTATCAAGAACCTGTCAAGCCTGTTAAGCCTTCCAAGGAGTCCAAGCGGAAGAAGTTCAGGGGAAAGGCGGAGAGCGTCCAGTCGAGGAAGGAAAGCCTCCTGGTGCCACCTACGGTGATCGTCAGGGCGGCCAGTGAGGAAACTAAGCGGCAAAGGCCAGCCTTGACCAGGTCGAATGCTTTTCTGGAGCTGCCACGTGGGAAAGGGTTCGATCCTACCAAGCGGTCGCTCAGTGAGGAAGTTCCCAGGTCCAGGGCTCGGGAGGCTCATCGCGGACCCAGCAGGGCCAAGAGTGAGGAAGCTTCTAGGAATCCGTGGGGTGATGAGGGGGAAGTTCGCCAGTATGTAACGACTGTTTAGATTATTTATAAGGGGAGTGTTGGGGTTTTCTACGAGTTGTTTATTTATGATGTGACGGACAATGGGAGTTTTCGACTTTTTCCTCGTAATTGTTTGCTACAACACCAATGCCCGGTCTATTTAAAATTGAACAACTTGACATTGACTAAGCTGCGGCCTACGCGTTCCAGCTCTTACGGATATCAATTTTAGGACTGTTATTTGTGACGACATTCAACCAGAGCCGGTATGCTAGGAATCTTTTAAAGAAAGGACAACAACATCAACAATATCATATTAATTGCAGTAAATTAATGCTCAGGGGCAATATGGCGGGCTTGTACAAGCGCCCCAATAATTTAGGGGTGTTAAAAAAAAATAAATTAGTAATGTTGTAATGTTATTGATTATAATTATTACGATTTTTGTATGAGCTTGTGTTGCTGAGACTGCCGACGAGAGGGCATTGTCAATCGGTTATTTACTCGCCGATGTTTTAATAAAAGTGATAGCGTAATTAATGATAAATAATGATTGATATTCATTAATATTAATACTTAATTATAAATGATTTAAAATAACCGTAGCGTATAAGTAGCCATTGAAGTTCAGTAACACATTGTACTTTATAATATATAGTACGTACTTGGTATATAATATGTGTATATTATCTATACCGACTTGAGATACATAGATGTAATCTAACGCTCAGACAAATGTAAGGTTAAACCCGTGATTAGTGGGTAATTAATTGAATAATATTGATAATGGTTATGATTAATGATGATAATAATAAGAATAATAATGACAATGATTGATAAAAAAATATAAATTAGTTGAAGCGGAAAATCGTCTCGTCGGATCAGCCGTTTGAATATTCTTTCGCATTTGTAGCGAAGTTGATAATTAATTATTAACAATTGATAATTATTAAACAAATTTTGTTATTATTTATTTTTTTTTATGGGAGAGAATAATTTACCGTGTTTTACGGTAATTACTGTCGCTACGAACAGTTATTTGAACTCGAGTTCTGGGGACGGCCATTTTGTTGTCAGTTGACGTTCAAAATGGCCTTGCGCCGGGTCGTGCAATATTTAATACAATCGTAACGATTTTAGGGTAAGACATAGCTACTATTATGTTGGGCTGTTATTAATAATTATTATTATTTTTATTTATGAAATTTAATAATAGAATAATTGATTGTAGGTAAATAATGAGTTAAGGGTTAATTAATTAAATAAAAATGAAAATACTCAGAGATATTAAAAGCTGCTTACACTTTCCATTCTGGGTTTTAATAATAAAACCGAGCTTTTGTGAAAAGCGTGGGCAGCTGAGTGTACTTTTCACTAAAAAATTAAAGTCATATTTAGAACACATTTTGATATTTCTTTTAGTCATAGCGCTTTTTCTCAGATTAAAATTCTTTTTTTTTTTAATTTTTAATCTTATTTAATAAAATTAATTTTTGCTCCTAAATTTTTAAACATTTTTAGTGTTTGATTAATTAAAAGCAATAATTAACTTAAAAACAAATCAAAAATTGAGCAACTTTATTTCGCTAAGCTTTAATTATAATTATTTAAATTTTTTATTACCAAAAATTTAAAAGGCTAATTTATTAATAAAAATTAAGCTCAGAATTGACTATTAGTATTTTTAATTATTTTGATTGCTACGTAAGTAATGAATGAAAAAAAAAATGATAATCATAAGCTTAGTTACTGAAAGTGTCATTAATATAGGCGGCAATCGTTCGCACGCTGAATTATTACCACCCCTAAAATATATTTACGTCTGTATATACAATGTATCGATACGTTATTATTTATAGCGAATCGTAAATATTAATGCTAGTCCGACTATTGCAATTAATCCATCATATAGACTAATTTAATTATAATTATTAATAATATTAAATTAATTATTAGCATACGTATTATTTAACCACCTAATCGTAAGCATTGTAAACAAATGTGATTCATTACCCTGTTAGGAATCTCTACACCCTCAGTAATGACTTAATTGATTGATTGGATATTATTTGATTAGTTAATTAATTTATTTCTGTTGTATCGATTGACATTTTTGTTATTAAATCACTCGTACATCCGAACTTTCATTTTGTTGACTTGTTTTTGTTATATTATTATTATATAAGTAATTGTAATAATTATTATTTATTATTGATAATGATAAGGCACTCATATCGAGTATTGTCATATCCATTTTGTTAATTATGTGAGTATGTATATAAATATACCTGTAATTATATTTATATACATATCGTGCCCCTGTCCTGAGCCCCGAATAATTTGTGATCGAAAATTAAACAATTAACTCAGCGTGTTACTGTAATAATATTTATCCTTGTCTAATAGAGCATTATTTGTGCAAATTATTAACTGAAAAATAATAAATAAAACCCGTAATAAGAGGTCAATGTTGATTTGTTTAAATAAAATAAATGTAAGTCTAAAAAAATATTGATTATTTTTTTTTTTACCTAATTTCCTAATTTTTTTTTTAATTTTTCTTAAAAAATAAATATTAAATTTTTGTTTTATGATACTGAAGTTAGCCGTCAGCTGTTGATTTTAAAAATTTTTTTAACAAATCAATTACAATAAAAAAATGCATCTAAAAATTTTCACTTGTAATTTTTATTAATTTTCACATGTGGAACTTTTTAATTTAATTTTTTTTATAATAATTTTATTGCTATAAAATTCTAAAAAAATTTATGACATTGAAGTTAGCTGTCACTTGACAAATTTTTAATTTTTATTTAACAATTGAATTAACTAAAAAATTATTTTAAAAAAATGCATTTTTAATTTTTACATGTCAATTTGTTTTTCTTATTTTTTTTTCCATAATTTGTTTGTTAAAAAAAGTTCTAAAAATTATTAAATACTTATGAAAATTAATTTAGCACAAATTTAATAATTTTAAAAATTTATTAACAAATAAATTATGGCCAAAAAAAAAGTGATATTTAGAAATTGAAAGAAATAACAAATGCGTTTTTTAAAAATAATTTTTTGGAAAAAATATTTTTGTTAAATAAATTTTAAAAAATGTCAAGTGACAGCGAACTTGTATGTCATTAAATACCTACTAAATTAATTTTCATAAAAAATTTTTAATGTCTGTCAGCTTCAGTGTTATTTTTTTTATCAATTAAAAAATTGATAAAATTTTTAAAAATATTTTCAAAAAATCACATGTTATGGATAATAAAACAAATATAAAAATAAAACTTACATTTTAATATCCTCTCCACTCTTGCGCGCATGCGCCTTCAAGCATATCACTTTTCTTGATAAATAAAAATATTTAAAACATTATTGAGTAAATTATTAATTAACTAAAAAATTATATTATGCATGATTAAAAACTACTGAGATCATTTCTATGTGATATCGGCTATGTCAGATGTCAGATTTTTCTTATTCATTTTTATAAACTTTTTAATGCGCGCCTACTTAAAATTTATTACTCTATCGCTTAAATACTATGTAAAGAAAAAATATAAGTACTTTTTTGTATTAATTACACAGTATTTACTGTAATAATTGTCAAAAACTGCAGAGCTAAAATTCGCATAACGTTCTTTCAACTGCGGTCAGCCATCTTGTGAAGCGCATGCGCGCGCACGCGCAGAAATATTAAACGAAATTTGAATTTTTATTTTTTTCAATGTGAATCTTTTGTCTAATTATTTAATTAAATACAAAACTTAGATAAGAATAAAGTCAGCCGACGTTTTTAATTTCTTGATTTTTTTTCAATAATTCGTGGGTTGTATACTATTTTTCTTGCTCTTCACCCGAAAGTACGCAACTCCGTGGAAGGGGTTTTTCCAGGTGCGAGGGGGGCGCCGCCCGACTTTTGTAAAGCCGAGGCTTTGCTGGTCGGGGCGGACAAAAAAAAAGTAAAAATTAATAAATTAAAAAAAAAAATAAAGTATTCTAAAGTTTACCAACAACTGTTCTAATTTAAAGTGATAAAATGCACAGAACTTGGCACAAATATTTAAACTCGTTCTAATAACAGAATTTATTTTTTTGAGTTGATTAAAAATTAATTTTTAGTTAATAATCGACGGCTAAGAAAGATTGAAATTAAATGATTAGAAGCTTGTAGAGTTCATGTACCTATTATTTTATAAACATTGCTTGACTAGCTGTCAAAATATATAAAAGAAAGCAAATAAAGTCCACAAAACTTTTATATTTCATTTTATATAAACTTTTTATATGAATCATTTATGTAGTGTTATTATTAAATAGTTCATTAATAATAATCTATTTAAATTATTTTTTATTTTTTTGACACTTTCTGGTTAGTTTATGCGCTGACAGGTTACATACAGACGACGTTGTGACTGTTAGACAGTTGAAACTCACGCCACGAAAAAGTCAAGACTGCTAACTTTAATAACATAAAAAAAATCTAATCATTTGTGTATGATCAATTGTCTAATGACAGCTGACAAGTTGATAAGGTAGCTCACGCCTTCGAAACCTCAAGACATTTAAAAATATTTGAGGTTATAAAATGGCGGATCTAAACAGAGAGTTGAGTGAATATTTACTAAGCAACAAAAATGAAAAACAGTACAAATTAACAATCCCAACGGTGACGATACCGAAGCCTTCACTAGGAAGATGGTTCGGAAGATCATCGTCAACTCAAGAAAGCACTGAGGAGTCAGGATGGTTCCAAGACACCCAGCGAAATTGCTGTCCCAGTATGGTTAGTTTTGACACGTCAAAATCTTTATTTTTTTGAATAAAACTTTAAATAAAATAATTTTACTCCAGACAAGGTTCCAGCGGTTGACTGGTTTTGCGATGTGCTTATTCATGGGAGTGCTCTGCTTCTCGATATCAGCGATTTATGTGCCAGTGTTGCTCCTAAAAGCACGAAAATTTGCACTGTTATATTCTTTAGGCAGTGTATTTTTTTTAATGAGGTATTTACTTAGTTATTTAAGTATTTAACTTTTTTTTTTGCTTATTTTTCTATTATATGATAGTAAAAATAGCAATAGTCTGATAATTTTATGAATTTTTATAATACTAAAGTATTAGTCGACTTTTAAAAATGTTTATAATTTATTTTATTGAAAAATTAATTAAGAAAAATATCATATGTAGAAAATTTTTAAAATTAAACGTGAAATCTTTTGAAAATATTTATTTTTAAGTTCTAATTTAATTAATGAAAAAAAAAAAATTGTTGAATGTCGGCTAATTTTAGTATCATTACTAAAATTGGCAAAAAAAAAAATGAGAAAAAAATTGACATGTAAAAATTAAAAAAAATTTTAATTGCAATTTTTTAAAAATAATTTTTTGGAACAAATTTGTTTGTTAAAGAAAATAAAAAAATTGTAAAGTGACAATTTTTTTTTTTCAACAATTGAATTGCGAGTAAAAAAAAATACTTGAAAAAAATTGCACGTATACTTTTTTAGATTTTCTATTTGAGAAATTTTTTTATAATTTTTTCAATAAAAAAAAATTAAAAATTTTCAGATTTCGGCTAATTCAATTTTCAAAATTTTAATGACAAAAAAAAATATGTTAAAAAATTTATTTACTCAATTTTTTCAATATAATTAAATTATTATAAAAACCTAAAAAATTCTCCGATGTTTTTTAATTCCACTGAATTTTATAACAATAATTATTAAAATTCCAGTTTTTGTTTCCTGTGGGGACCAATCAGCTACCTAAAATCTTTATTCACCTTAGAGAAACGTTGCTTCACATTATCATACTTCCTGACCCTCGCAGGAACTCTGTACTTTGCTCTACATCTCCAATCAACACCTCTGACAGTCCTCTGCGCGGTTCTGCAGATCATAGCTCTGCTGTCGTTTCTCGTGAGCCACATTCCTGGAGGTACTACGGGGCTGATGTTCTTCGGGAGGATGTTTAAGTCCTCTGTCAAGCCGACTTTGCCTATCTGAGCCACCATATCAAATAAAATTATTTTAATTATTTATTAATCATTAATCATACTGAAAATACTAAACTTAATATTAATTTGATAAAAAAAAAATAAATTTTATTAAAAATCATTAGAATTTTTTTATATTAAATTTATTAAAAATAAGTCTACTATTTTCAGTATAAATTAAAAATGTATATAAGACTGGTACATACGTATTTCTATCTATTTAATTAATTGTGATAAGTATGACACCAAATTGTAAATATTTAAAATAATCTTCCATTTAAAATATTACAATTACATTAGCAACCTTGCAGTCATTATGTGACTGCCATGACTTGTGAATTAAAAATAAATAAAATTTTACTTTATTAAATAATGACTTTTGCTAAATTGCACTGTACTTTTTTAAATATTGACGTTATTGAAGATATAAGCTCATCCCGAAGTTACACTCATCAATAGCTTTCATTTGAGTACCCACATGCATTTTGATATATTTTTCATATGTATACATATATATGATATATATAAATATATATGAAAAAATTGATGTGGGTAGTCAAATGAAAGGTCTCGATGAGTGTAATTTCGGGATGAGCTTATATCTTTAAAAATGTCAATAGTTCACAAAATACAAGGTCGTTTCTTAATTATGTTAAATTGCACTGTACTTTCTTAACTATTGACATTTTTAAAGATATAAGCTCATTCCGATGTTACACTCATCAAGGGTTTTCTTTTGAGTACCCACATGCATTTTGATATATTTTTCATATATATACATATATATGATATATATAAATATATGAAAAAATTGATGTGGGTAGTCAAATGAAAGGTCGTGATGAATGTAATTTCGGAATGAGCTTATATATTTAAAAATATCAATAGTTCACACGATACAAGGTCGATTCTTAATTATGATAAATTGCACTGTTCTTTCTTAACTATTGACATTTTTAAAGATATAAGCTCATCCCGAAGTTACACACATCAAAAGCTTTCATTTGAGTACCCACATGCATTTTGATATATTTTTCATATACACATATATATA